TCAGGCTCTCTCCCTCATTGTCCCTGGCACTCCAAGTGCATTCCAGTGCACCTACCCGTCCAAGAAAGAGGCTCCTGGTCAGCACAGTAGCATTGCTTAGGCTGAGATCTGGGGAAAGGGCCAGCAGCCAGGTGCAGAGCTGCAGAAGGCCAGCGTCTGAGAGCTGTGGGAGCTGCAGCTGGGCACACAGCAGGTCCACCTGCCAAGGAGGAGGGATGACACTGGGACACTCAGTCTGACTCTGCTGGGCTGTGTCAAGCCAACCAGGTGGCAGAAGGGGCGGGGCAAGGGCACTCCAGGGTCAGGAAAGGCTGGGAGAGCTGCCCTATGGGGAGGAACCAAGGGCTAAAAGAAACCACTCAGGGTGACCCCTGCCCCTGAGAGACCAAACAACCCAACAAAATCCCCTCCCCAAGTTCCCACATGAGGCAGGGAAACACAAACTGAAATGGAAGAAGGCTGGGGAGAGGGAATGTGTCCTCAGGCCCAGGCAGCCTTTCTGACTCACCTGGCTGGGACTGCATTCGTGGAGAAGCTGCAGCTCAGCTGGTGGGGCACCCTCCAATCCCTCCAACCCCTGGGAAGGCAAGTCCCATGTTAGGGCTGGCTGGGCCCTCAGCTGCCCCTTTGACTGGCAGAGTGGGTGACTGAGGCCCCCCAAAGGTGCTACTAGAAGAGAAGGACTCATCTGAGGTTAGACAACAAACTTGGGCCAAAAGCAGCCTTTGCAGTGACTGTCCTCGGACCTTCACTCCACCCCCCTCACCCAAATGGCCTGTGCCTCACTGCACTGGGACTTCCCCGGGCACAGCTGAGGTCCAGGCAGAAGGTTGAAGAAGGGCTCTGGGGAGCAGGGTCAGGCCAGTCACCTCCCCGAAGGTCCTGAGCAGCTGCTGCATCCTGGGAACCTGATCCTGCAGAGGAGAGCCCAGTCATTGCCAAGTCCCTGCCTGCATAGGGTGGCCCCAAGCCCTGTCCCAGACCACTCTCTGAGGAGGCCCCTGGTCAGTGGGAGCTAGTAGGCAAAGATGACTCATGACAGCCAAGAATATGAAGCCTGAACCTTGAAAAGTGCTTAAGAACTCAAACTAGACAAGGCTCCTGTAAATCCATCTGTATAGACTCATCTTCTCTGCATCCATCCTAATGGGGGCAGACCCAGGCCTTGGGCTGGAAGGACAGGCTGGATGCTGGCACCATTCCCCCTATTCCCATAAGATGGGGTGGTGGGGGTGGCTTCAGAGCCTCTCCTTTTACCTGATACCCTTTAGCCTCACGTTATTGATCATTAGGTTAAGGGTTCCCACTCCCAATAACGCCCTTCCTCACCCCCTCCTCAGAGTCTGTGGAGCAGAAACTACGTTCCCTCCACCCCACCCTCCTTCCCCTTGCTCCACGGACTAGTCATCCCAAATGGGAAATAGCATCCCAGTGGGCTTTCACCCTGTATAAACCCCCACTCCTGAGGGGTCACTCTAAACCAGCCTCCTCATCCTAGTACCTGGATAGCTTTGGGCAACTCCAAACTCTCAGGTAGGCCCTTAGCATCCTCTAGACTTGGAGCAGCCTCACTGGGCTCAGCCCCCATGGCAGGCTGCTTCTTAATGGGTGATGCACCTCCTCCATCAGCCAGGGACTCCAAAGATTCATGTTCAGGTCTTGCTTCCTGATGACCTGCCTCTTTCTCTTCTTCCTTTTCCAAACACCGAAACCTTTTGGGGGCCCTTTCCCCATCAGGACTGGCAGACTCTTCCTCTGGCCCCTTTCTGCGTTTCCCAGGCCACTGGGAGTCCTTGTCCTTCTCTTCTTCCTTTTTGGGGTCTGGAGCATGGGGCCATCTCAGCTTCCTGCCCCCTTGGCCCAGCTGCCTACACAGGCCTTGGAGTTGTCTCTGGCACCTTGCAGATAGTGGGGATGCTCCCTCAGTGGAGGCCCCAACACCCAGATCCTTTCGCAGCAATTCCCCAAGGGCCCGGAGCCAGAGATCAGGGTCAGGGCTTGGGTCCTGGTGTGCAATCTGCAGTACAGGGAGGAGACTGCTTTCAGGCAGTGATGGCCAAACAGCCATCAGCAGAGACATCAGATTCCTTTGGCATAATGGGGGCAATCGTAGCAGCAGCGGTTTCCTGGATAGCAGAGGGAGAACAAGCAGTTAAGAGTATCTTGCTGAAAGGAATACAGGGCAGACTGGGCAGAGCTAGAGGCTAGATGGCAATGGACAGACTGGGAGCCAGCAGCTGTAAGTCAGTTTGGATGGAGAGGGGCTAGCACGGGAGTCATTCAACAAGTGTCCATTGAGCATCTATTCTATGGTAGGCCCTGCTCTTTGACATCACCTATTCCAGCTCAAAAATTCCCCTATAATAGATCCATGCTTGCTTTATATATACACATATATATGTATATAAAACCCTTCCCCAAACTTGAGGTAAAAATACTACTCCCAAATGCTGTGCTATGCTTAGTCTGCAAGCATAGGGAGCAAGGCCTGTGCTCCCCTTGGCAATCCCCTGGAGCTCACAGGGTCACACCAGTCCAGCTCTGATGTTCCTTTCACCAAACTGAGTTCCTGAGACATGGAGGCAGTCTCCTTTCTCTGTGTCCTGGTACCTAGCACAGCACCAGCCCATAGAAGGCACTTGGTGCACATTTACTGAATGAATGAACTCTCTGGGAATAAGTGTTCCAAGATCAGCAAGACTGCTGAGGACAATGTAGCTGTCTGTAATGTTACAAAGGCATGAATCCAGATATTGTGTGACCTGACGCTTGTTGGCGTGGCAAGCAGGTCATGGGTGCATCTAGCCTATCACCCATCATGCCTCTGCTCCCCTCCATTCATGACTTAACGGGGCTGTTCCTCACACACAGAGGCACTTGGGATACGTGAGAGAGGAAAGCAACCCTGACTTCTATTTTTGTATGTGGAAAAAAACACTAAGTGAGAGAAAAAGGAGAGTAAAAGTTAAAAAGATGGTCAATTTGTGGTGGAGGATACTGGGAGTAAAGAAGTGGGGGAGATCCTACTTCAAGGACTTAAAATTTTTGTGTGTGGACCCCCTTACCAGAATGATTTAAATGCATAAAATAAAATACATAGAATTACAAAATAAAACAATTACAACAATTATACTGAAGTAAAGTTCTATCCAGGACTCTAGGTTAAGTCCTTTTCTCTTACTCAGTCCAGAAACAGCCAGATAGCTGGACAAACGTTTCTATACCCTTCAATTTGGGGCTTCTAAAAATTCTCTTGAAAGAAATGGAATGTGGGAAGAAATTATTAGAACTTATATTTCTACTTATCTAAAACATAATAAATTATTAGAAATGTTTAATATATGGACTGGCCTTCTATATTCCAGTCCAATTCTTAGAGAGGGGTATCCAAGGAGAGTAGGAGGTCTGCTCTTCTGCCCTCTAAACGCTGAAGGTGGCACCTCCCTCCCTTTCTGCATTTTAGTTGACTATGATAGTTAAGTGATCTATGTATGAATGCTGTATTATCTTTAACAAACCAAACCCTCACAAAATGGACACATGGCTTTTAAGGATGCCTGAAAAGAACCTGAATATCAATAACGAAAGTACAACCTAGTAAAAAAAATGTCAGAGCTGACACTTCTGCTCCTAGTAGGAATTCTTAGCCACATAAAGAGGGCAAGTTCCAAGTCATCCAAAAGACTAGAAATTACCAAGAACACTATCCTTAAGGGAAGAGGGTTTGCCTTAAAATCTGTATCATGCTTTGAAAAATTGATAATATAAAGCCACCACGATCAGATGTTTAATGTCATTTACCACTTCTAAATTTCTATTTTTGTATGCCTAACTGTACATATTTTGACGCACGTGTTCGCTTTACACACATAAAGTACACCTATACTGAGGGAAGGGATCGAGTTTTTTAAGAGAAGTAAGTGACCAGTATCAACTGGAGTCCACTGACAGATTCATTTACACTTAACCAAAGGCCCGAGTCTTCTGTCTAGGTATGCCGCACCAGCCGGCATCCAGCAGGTAGTCAACGAAGGTCTGCTGGCTGCCTCTCCTCACGGGCTGCGTGGCAGGGACCCGCTTGCTGAGGGGAAGTCAGTAGCCTCTCTGTGCCTCGGTATTCTCATCTAGAGAAGGAATGTTCAGCCAGCCCTTGCCGCACACGACCGTGGAAGATGAAGGGCGGTGCCCCTGGCCGCCGAGACCAGCAGGGAAGGAGGAACGTGGGCT